TGTAAGATAAAACCATCTGCTGTATTTTATTCTCTCTCTCTCTCTCTCTCTCTCTCTCTCTCTCTCTCTCTGTGTGTGTGTGTGTGTGTGTGTGTGTCATGTGTGCATGTGGATGTGGGTACTCACACAGAAGGCAGAGGACAACACGGGGTGTCCCTGTTTTGTCACTCTATGCTTAGTCCTAGGAGATAGGATCTCTCACTGCACCTAAAGCTAGGCACACAACCAAGGAGCCCAGTAAAATCTCCTGGCTTGGCTCCCCGCCAGTGCTGGTGTTACAGGGGATGGGCTCGGGCTGCTTTTTGCAAAGGTGCCCATGACTGAGACTCAGGATCTCATTTGTGCATGAAGCACTCTTACCACTGAGCTGTCTCCTGGATCCCCCCACCCCACCCCATCTTTGCCTTTAACCGTTTTGGCTTTCAAAAACATGGTTTGGTGGAAGTGGTTTGGGGTTCAGGTTATAAAACCACAGCCTCAGAGTTCTTTGCCGTTAACATGTCACATAGCACACTTCTGGCCAATGACACATGAGAGGAAGTTACTTAAAGCTACCAAAAATAGGAGAGATGTGGTTAGCGGCTCGCTCATGTTACTCTCATATCTTGTTTGTCCTTATAGTCACCCGCATCATCTAGCCTTTTCATAATGGACCTTGAGAAGTGAAGAGAATAATAGACCCTCTAATGTCCCAGCCACCACATATATTATTCACACCACTCATTTTCTGTCTCTGTTTTGCATAGCCAAATATAATTCTTTCTTTTCTATTCTTTCCTTTTCTCTTCTCTTCTCTTCTCTTCTCTTCTCTTCTCTTCTCTTCTCTTCTCTTCTCTTCTCTTCTCTTCTCTTCTTCTCTTCTCTTCTCTTCTCTTCTCTTCTCTTCTCTTCTCTTCTCTTCTCTTCTCTTCTCTTCTCTCCTCTCCTTCCTTCCTTCCTTTCTTTCTTGTTCTTTGGTTTTGAGACAGGGTCTCACTATGCAGCCAGCCCTGGTTGCCCTGGAACTCACTATATAAACTAGGCTGGCCTTGAGCTCACAAACATCTCCTTGCCTCTGCCTCCTGAGTCCTGGGATTAAAGGCATGTGCCACCATGCCCAGTGCCCAATGTAATTCTTAATAGAATGTATCAGAATGAAATAGAATGTATCGCCGGGCGGCGATGGTGCACACCTTTAATCCCAGCATTCGGGAGGCAGAGCCAGGCAGATCTCTGTGAGTTTGAGGTCAGCCTGGTCTCCAGAGAGAGTTCCAGGACAGCCAGGGCTACACTCAGAGAAACCCTGTCTCGAAAAACTAAAAAGAGAGGTGGGGGGGTGTATCAGAATTGATATGCATCCGTCGGGGGAGGGGTTTCCAGTAAGGGTAGTAAAAGTGAATTTGCTTAATGGAAGTGTGTGTGTGGGGGGGAGTAAAGGCAGATAATCCCATGTGTATTAAACAGAGAAAATCTGTTGCATTCTAGGAAAGAACGCCACTGATGTCCAGATATGGAGTGTTGGTGTTTGCTAGAACTCCTTGCAATTTCTAAGAAGAAAGCTGTAAAAAGGGGGACGAGCCTATAGAAGAAATGCATGGTTGACAGATGTGTGAAGGAAAACGTTGTACTGTGGAGCATTTATCTACGTTCTTTATTAATCGGTACTCAGATATCAGGTAAGAACCTGAATGAGCAGAGAAGCAGAGGAGAAGCAACCAGTGGCCTCCCCTCGCTCTCCTTCCTCAATCCAAAAGGGCTGAGACTCTTTATAAGCCCCACCCTACTATTTCCTGTGTCTCTCTATATGTCCTCAGTCCTCCAAAATCTCTATGGCTAACTCTGGTCAGCTAGTAGCTAACTCTGCCCTTCAATTCAAAGCAAACTTTATTGGCAGTCTTGGGAGTGTCAGAGTGTGACCAAAAATATCCCACAATAGTACTGCTACAAGAGAAACATTTGCCCATGTCCTATGAGCCCTTTTACAAGCCCTTTATAAGCTGAGACATATTTGGATCTGGAGCAATACTCAATAAAGCAGAAATTGAAGGCAGATAGCTTTTTTTCTCTTAAGTAATATTCTAGACCTAGATGTAGGCTGGACAAGTCCAGCACAGTGCTTCATGTTGACCTTAGATCGTTTTGTTTCTTGGTCTCCAAAGTGTTTTTCATGCTACTGTGATCCATGGTGACTTTTAGGCCTTGGACATTATAGCTAATAGGAGGAGAAAGAGGAAGAGAGGGGCATACTCTTTTACTGGTTTCATGTTCTAGAAGCTGAATATATTATTTCTACATATATCTCATTGGGGTCACCATATTGTTGATGATGTCACAGCTTCTAGCATTGTGGCAGGTTGGAAGGAATGGACACTATGTCTTATGTGTTAAAAGCTGATTACTCTAGCAGAGATGATAGAAGTCATTGTAAGTTTAGGATTTTGGGGAGTCCAGAAATGACATCATCAAGCACATCACTTCCACAAATCAGCTCTCAACCCCCACCCAGCCCTCTGCCTTCCCTTACTGTATCCTTCCTAAAGCTCATTCTCTGAGGTCCTGTATCTTTTGCAGGTAACTGCTTCTGAATGGAGACCAATTCTATCAAACGTGGAAGATTCACCTGTAGGTAAGAGAACTACAGTTGGTCCAGATCAAGAGCTCAGATGAGTTTTATTCTAAACTTCTGTCTTCCTCTAAAACCATCCCCCTTTCCTGTGAAGACGATACCCCCCATTTCTGTGATGCCCCTATACATACTGTGTGTCTTTTCTCAGGTCATCTTTTGTTAATTTACTCCAGAGACTTCACTGATCCTTTGGAGGGGAAGTTGCCTTTGCTTTGAAGCAATCATAGCTTGTTCTCCTTCTCTGTTCTAAGAATGCAACCTTGTAAAAATCATTCTGGAATTATTTTTGACTCCATGTGCTTAAATAATTAAACTGAGCAACTTTAATAAGATCATGTTACATTCATCCTTACATAATTAAGCAAAGAGGGTGATGGTGTGGGGAACCTGAAATCTTGGTTCCCTCGAAAGCAATGTTAGGAAGGACAGAACATTTTAGAGGCATAACCCACCCAGAAGAAGGTGATGGAATGAGAACAGGACATGGAAACTGGCCAGCCATTCTAGGGTAGCAGATAGTGAAAGCAAACAGGTTTTCCTTGGCCAAAAGCAGGGAATAACCTTGGTGGTGTCAGCACAGATATCCTTAACCAAGGTCAAAGGTGGCAGAAGTTTTTAAGCTAAAATGTCTTTGGTCTGCCCTAGCTAGAGGCCAGGGAAGCTGGTGTGTGTGTGTGTGTGTGTGTGTGTGTGTGTGTGTGTGTGTGTGTGTGTGTGTGTGTGTGTTTTCTCATTGTCTCTCCTCCCTTAAATGAACACCCTTGCCTGGAATCTATATGGGTTTAGGACTAAGCTAGAACTGATAGGTACCTGGATGTTGTGTATGGACCAACTTGATTGACCAGTTCACCTCCCTCTGTTCCTCCACCAGAAAGTCTTATTAACTCCCAGATGGAGATGCTCAATGGTACCCAACTTCCAGGGACCTGTTCCTGATGCACGCATGGGAGGGAGCTCTGCCTTCTGTCTCTGAAGCTCCCACCATGAATCGCCAATAGACTCATTTCTTGACACATCCCCCGACTGGCTGAGTTTCATCCTCTGAATTATGAGACAAGAAAACCCAGAGACCACAGACTTAGTGGAAGCTTATGTGACCACCAGTGTCTGACACTCTCACTCCTGAGATAAAGCCCACCTGAATATAGAGAGAAAACCTCCATGGACTTCAAAGACACCCTGCTTGCTCTGTATCAGCATCGTTAGGGGTCCTGCCTTTGGATTACATTACTTCACTTCTAGTGGGACTTCAGCTACTTCCTGTGGCAGTGAGTTGTTTTAAGACAGTGAGACGAGCCCCTTCAGGGTGTCTAGTACCCTGTCCAGCTATTCAATCTCTTCAATCTCTTCCACCTCTTCTGCCGTGATGATGATCAAGCCATGTGGCCACGAGTCACTTACAAGTTCCACCTAAGACTTGGTGCCATGCTCTTGGATTGCAATAACTGTGAGCTAAATAAACCTTCTAAAATAAATAAATAAATAAATAAATAAATAAATAAAGTATTTACCTTTAGGTGTTTTGTTTTAGAAAGAAAAAAAAAAGTTAAACTGAAACCACAGAAAAGATTTCCATCAGACACCACTGTACTGACTGATTTAAAAGAGACCAGAGATCTCTGAGACATTTGGTTATTTTAGTTTTTCTCATTTAGATTTTAGTTTATTTAACGTGTATGAGTGTTTTGTCTGCAAGTATATTAGAGATGGTTGCGAGCCACCATGTGGATGCTGGGAATTGAACCTGGATCTTCTGGAAGAGCAGCCAGTTCTCCTAACCACTGAGACATCTCTCCAGCCCCTTTGCTCTGTCTTGAAAGAGGTATTTTGCTAATTCTGTAATCAATGAGTGAACATGACATTTGTCAAATGATTATAGCTCACAGCTGGTTGTGAAAAGGGAATCATTTTGTGACTTGGTAGATTTTAATCCCATTTCTTAGTTGCAGAAGTAATCTGAGTGGTGGGAAATCCTCTTCTTAAGCCTATATTTTGAGAAGAAAATAGACAATAACTATTTTTTTCTTTAAAAACCATACATGGTACAAAAAGCTCATTCAATCACTACATAGACACAAATATTTATTAATAATATTAATATATCCTATTAATTGTGCTATAATAAAGAATTGATTACTTTGACAAAACATTTGACAAGCGCCTTGGATGTAGGAAGGTTGACTTTGGTCACAGCTTGAAGAAACAGTCTCTTATGATGGGGAAGGCGTGGAAGAAGGAACATGAACAGCTGGTGACAGTGGACCTGCAGTTAGAAGACAGTGACGAATGCTGGCCGCAGCTTAATTTCTCTGTTTATTCAGTTCAGGGACCCCCCCACACACACACACACAACGGTGCTGCCCACATTTAGAGTGAGTCTTTCCTTCTCAATGCACCAAGTCTGGAAACTCTCCCATAGACTTGCCAAGAAATTTGTTTTCCTAACCGTTCTAAAGGCTGTCAGGTGAGCAAACTATACTGACCATCACACTGGAGAAATGGTGAGATGGTTAAAAGATATTGAATTTCTTTTCAAAGGGATCCTTGAGAAGAAGTAGATGTTGGAAAATATCCAAGATCTATTATTAAGTTTGAAATGACTGTAACAATATGTGTGGTTCAAGTTCATTTGTGTACATGGAAATGGGCATATCCTACAGTTCCATGGACTTGGAAGTTTCTATAACAAGCTATTGATAATGTTTATCGTGAGATAGTGGGATTGGTGACCCTGGTGTGAAGAAAGAAAGATTGGCCTTCTACTTTGTAACCTCTGTTCCCATTGGCCTTCTACTTTGTAACCTCTGTTCCCATTGGCCTTCTATTTTATAACTCTGTTCCCATTGGCCTTCTACTTTGTAACCTCTGTTCCCATTGGCCTTCTATTTTATAACTCTGTTCCCATTGGCCTTCTACTTTGTAACCTCTGTGACCATTAGACTTGCTTTCCCAACCATAGATTTGTCTTAAATTTGTACTAGTTTTGAATAGAAAAAAGACTAAAATTTACGAAAGACGGGCCTGGAGAGATGGCTCAGCAATTAAGAGCACTGGCTGGTCTTACAGGGGACCTTGGTTCAATTTTCAGCACCCACATGGTGGCTCACCTCTGGAATCTGATGTCCTCTTCTGACCTCCCCATCAGGCACACACGTGGTGCACATATGTACATGTAGGTAAAATGCTCACACATAAAACAATAACAAAAAAAGGATAAAAATGAAATCTACAGAAGCAGTTTAGTTACAATGTGTATTGTCTTTATGAACTCTCACACAGGAAGCAATAGTGTGAAGAATTACTGAAAGATTATCTAAATTTAGTCCTGCTCCTAGTTTTTTTTTTAATTGATCAAGAACCCATTGTAGAAAAAATATATTTGATTATTTATTTAAATAACATGTAACCTGATACTTATTTTTAAAATCTATTCTCTTGCCCTGGAAGGAAACGCACTACAAAAGACTATCATAAGATCTCTTAATAATCTAATCAACCCCTCAGAAATTATTTTTCTTTTTTATAAACTAAACTTGCAGGAAGCATGTCAGACTTTAATATTAAAGGTCGTCCTTCTCAGGAGTACTAGAAACAGGCTGAAGGAAACTGAGAAGTGCTTTTTCTCTCTAGCCAAGTCCAGTACTGTTGCTGTTAATGATGCGGTCTTGGCCAGATCCTGTCAGAGAAGAAATCAGCAACGGTTCCACACCTTCCCTGCAAGGCAAACAGTGGATTAAGGTTCTGGATGCTTATTCTGGCAACCCAGGGGAAAAAAATTTAAATTTCCATTTCATGAAGGGAAAGGTGTTAAATCAACCAGATTCAGGTGTGAAATGAGTATGTGGGAAATAGAATTTCTGCAGATGTTAAGAAAGCCCATTCCGCCGGGTGGCGGTGGCGCACGCCTTTAATCCCAGCACTTGGGAGGCAGAGGCAAGCGGATCTCTGTGAGTTCGAGGCCAGCCCGGCGAGATCCAGGACAGGAACCAAAACTACACAGAGAAAGTCCATTCCTCTGATGAGGCCGTGTGACGACGACGACAGCCTGGGGAGACTACAGGTGCGATTGGTTGGCTTTGTAAGATGCAGTGGGAGATGTGGTACGACATCGGGTCCTCTGCCTGCTCCCCTGCCAGGGCACACCGAGACGTGTTTATTTCACAGGAAGTTAAATATACATGGTCTGGCGGGCAAACCCAGCTCTGTTCCACAGCAGGTGAGCCAGGAGATAGGAAAGCCATGGTTGGGTATTTCCGCTTGTAGCTGGGGAGGCAGGTCTTTTGTTATGGAGATCATTCACAATGAACAAGCTTTATGTTGACATAACACCACATTATTCATTTTAGTCCTTCAGGGATTGAGTGCTAGCTGTGTTCTATAGACTTCTCCATGCTAATGTGATCAAATGATTTTTAAAATCTAATTTGCAAACAGGGAAAGAGCGAGATTTGCCGGCTAATAATAGCACTTGTCACTGATGAAGAACCCACTACAAATCCCCCACTGTACAGCCTTTCTCTTTCAACTGCATGTGAACCCTGAACACGCAGAATTACTAATTCCAGCTTGCACCAGAAGAAACTGAGGCTGTAGACAGTTATGGATTGGCAATGAAGCCTGCCTTAGCCGGACCACAAGGCCTTTGACTATGTGAGCCATAGGGCTTTGTGATCCCAAGGAAGGGAAATGGAGATGGGGAGGGGGTATGGGCAAATCTTCTACACCCCTTTCCCCAGCAACACTTAAAAAGGAAAAGAGACAAAGGGAGAATGCGCGTTCTATGTGGAAGCGACTCAGCATCCCTCTGAGGAAGTACCTCCCAGCTAAGCTCCCATCTATCCCGCTGAGCTGGGATCAGCATAGCCGACTGGCAGAATGAATGGTTTAAAAGGAACAGCATCAACCAAAGAACTTCTTATGCAAAGATACCCTAAATCTGGGGCAAAGTCCTCCTGTTCATTTTATCTAACAGAAGGTAGGTACCGCTCTCTGAAACCGGAATGCATGGCTCCACTATTTGGGAAAACCACGGTTCTAATTAGATGAGCAAATAAATGTTCATTTCAATTTATTAATATAGCTGTAGGCCGTGTTACAATTTATCTCTGGGTTCTGAGACCAATCCATCTCGAGTTGGGAATCATTGTGGGGAAGTCACGGGTTTTAATAATGGATAAAGGCGGTGAATTATTCAAGCAGAAGGGAGCAAGCCTTGATGCCTTCACTCACTTCTTTAATTAACTGTGAGATGCTGGGCTGTCTCCGGTTTCCAGGTTTATCGGCATCAGAACTGTGGAATTTTCCTGGGCCATGGATATGTCATGTTCAGGCCCATGCTGCTCGGAAAAGAGGGAGCTAGAGGTAACACATTGTCATTCTGTCCTTCCATATTCAGAGTCTGTGTCTGCTTAAACCTTCCTTGTATGCAGCTTCTTGAGCACTGGACACCTTTCTTGATAAAAATCAACCCTTTTATCCCACTGCACCCCTGAATAAAGACTTCAATGTGTGAACATTCGAAATAGTTCAATCCTTATATAAATTTGGGGATTACTCAGTAAACCAGAAATCCAGTTCTGGTTCCTTCAGCTCCCCGAGTTTGGTTTAAAACAGCTTTTGTTTTAGCTGTTTGAAATAAAATGACATTGTAAAAAGGAATTCTCAGTCTTCATTTGATAGGGCCTCAAACAGGCTAAGTCCACAGAGTGTGGCTTGCATCCTCCCTGTGGAGTAAGTATGATATTCATGGACTTTGTCAGATGCCTAACGGGTTCCAGGGGCTTAGAGATGCTCAGGGCTGCCAACTACGCCAGCATGGCTGCATGGGCAGGATCTTCTCCATTGCCTAAGGTGGCACTTCAGAACAGGAAACAGGAATTGCTAGACTTTACCTCAGTGTGAATCAGCAGTGTTCTGTGAACACGTTAATAACATGCTTAGATAATTGATTCTCCTTTTCTGGATGATCTATTTTGCTATTACCTGCTACCATGAAAGTTAAAAAAAAAAAAAGTGCCCATGAACAGTTATACAGCAATTTAGGCTGTGACAAGAGAATTTTTCTTTCAATTTTGTCACGCTAGAGAGAAGAGAAGGATCTGGGGGAGGTCTGAGCTCACCACTTCTGGGTAGAAATTGAATCACTATTTCTATAAATCAAAAGTCATGTTAAAAGCTCTGTGAAGCAAACAATGATGTATATGAATTAGCAGTGAGGCCGAAGTCAATATGAATCAAAGCAGCTTTACAAAGGTATTGATGTGTTCAGCTCCTCCTAAGGTTGAATACATTTAAGCCTTTATCCCCTGGGCATTGTTGACCCAAATGAATCTATTCACTGTGAAATGAGACCTTAGTTGTGGCTAAAAATAACTGTATACACTGACCCAAATAGGGTTCTTCCCCGAACTGAGCAATTCTAGCTGTGGCC